ATGCCAAATTTTTAAAGGAGGGGGGCCCAGAAGCCAGGGGGAAAGGCCTCGGTAAATGACCAAAAGCCCCAAACGGGGGGTTATCATACCGCGTCAGGAAAACTTGTTCTTTTTCCTGACGAACGTTACCTAGTCTACAGGGGCTATACAGTCGCCCCTTTAGGCAACAAAAAAACTTTCATTATTATGTCTGTTGAAGCCTAAATGTGTTCCATTATTATAGCTGTTGAAGCCATTACTATGTCTGTTGAAGCCTAGATGTGTTAGTAAGTAAGTAAGTTTATTCAGGTATACACAAATGCAGTTACATAGATTATCATACATAGCAGCACTTGTGTAGAGAACCTGGAATAACCCAAAAAAGTCAGACAGAGTGACTTATTTCCATTGGGGTCCTTTTACCTTATTATTATAATATAAAGGTTATAATATTTTCTTATTATTCTATAATGACGATAACATCATACTAAAAAGACTATCTACTACACGAGAGTCATTAACACTATCTACTACACGAGGGTCATTAAGACTATCTACAATACGAGGGTCATTACTAGGAATAAGGTAAAATTTACACGTATGTTAGCTAAAAAATAGAAAATCATTCCCCTCCCTTTCTATAGCTACATTCATCAGACACCTTTTGGCACTCTTCTTGAACTGGTTCATGCCATGACTGGCTTTGACATGTGCGGGCAGTCTGTTCCATTTCTTTATTGCTGTGCAATAAAGAGTGTTTGAAGCCTGGCCAATGACTGTGGGTACTATAAAGTTGTGCTCTCTCCCCCTAGTACTATGATTGTTTTGGTTCCCAACCTTGACAAAATTGACAGCAAGATATTCTGGGCACTGTTTGTGAGCAATTTTATAAACATGATTTAGCTTCAGTTGTTTTACTCTGTCTTCAACATTCAGCATATCCAACTGCTGTAATTCATCTTGGCCTACATGCTCTCTTGGTCCCAGCCCCAGAATGAATCTTACGATTTTGTTCTAGGTGATTTGCAGTCTACCTTTCAGTTTTTTTTTTTTTGTCAAGGCAGAGTACCATGAAGAGCAAGCGTAATCCATATGGCATTGTATAAGGGCTAGACATAGGGTCCTGCGAGCCTCAGTAGGTTGACACTGTGCTTGTCTATACGGGAACTTCAGTCTGGCATTCGCTTTCTTTACTACACTGTTCCCTATCAATTCTCCTGACATGCATGGGTCAAAGGGGATTCCCAGATATTTTACTGATGAAACCAAAAGTGATGGGCTCCCCATTACACTGGATATTAAAATTATTTACCCTTCTCAGTTTATGTGCCAAAGAGAATGGCTTCAGTTTTCACGAGGTGTAATGATAGTTTGTTGTCTACTAACCATTTGCTGCAGGACTCCAGTTCCAGTGTTAAAACATTAGCTATATCTCGTGGGTCTTTACCTGACACTAACAGAGCACTGTCATCTGCATACAGTAGGAGTTTGCACTTGACACTGATAGGCATGTCATTGACATAACATAAGAATAATAAGGGACCCAGAATACTACTTTGTGGAACTCCACATGCTATCGGCAGGGGCTCTGATTCCGTTTTGTTGATTTTGACTATTTGTCTCCTGTTGCTAAGGTAGGACTTAAGGGGGCTGTAGGGCAATTTGCCGCGCGCGCTCACCGAAAAATCGAAAAAATATGGATATTGAGTTATATATACTGAAAAAAAGCTCAACTCTTTGGCAACACAATGGTACCAGAATGAATGTTCTACGACGTTTCTACAAGAAATTATAGTCATTTATATCAGGTATGGTGACGGCGATGTTGGTACCGAGTCTGCTCACGGCCTATATATTTTTTGGAGTTATTTTCTTGTTTTTTATCGCCTTTTCTTGCATTATTCTTTCTAATATAATAACTGACTATTTGGCATCATAAAATAGTAGGCGGGACTTATCCCGAGACTTAGTGACTGCCGGAACCAGATGGGAACGCTCGGCAGTGTTCCACCGCTCCAGGTGCCAGCCAGGAATCACCCATTATTACGCTTATATCAGCTTATATATCAACTTTACGGCTTATTTGTCTATCAGAATTGATCTAATATGATATAATAAACACTCTAAATAACATACAAACATGTTATATACTCTAGGCTGAATAAAATAGGCCATAATATGACGAAAGATTATCGGGAATATTTCGATAAATATTGAGCTACTCCTCTCCATGTCCCATTCTTTAGTCTCCATCAGATTAATTAGGGAGGTATCGGTTGAGCAAGATCTTCTAAAGCCCGATTGATAGCTATGGAGAATGTTGTTGTCATTAAGGTACTTAACTACTTGAGAGTACACCGCCCTCTCTAGAATTTTGGATATTATACTGAGTATACTAACAGGCCTATAGTTGCTTACATCAGACCTACTATTTTTCTTGAAGATAGGAGTAACTCTGGCCTCCTTGAACCCCTCCGGTACGGTATTAGTGGTGATTGACAGATTTATTATGTGAGCAATAAGAATTGACAGTTCAGAAGCACCATCTTTTAGGAACTTAGACGGGATGTTATCCGGGCCTGTGCTCTTAGTTGGGTTTAACCTGCTTAGTTCTTTTTGAATAAAGTCATGAGATACACTTACTAGTTGACAACTGTTTGGGGTTACCCCTTTATTGGTATAGTATGTTTGAAACTTATCAGAGTCTGTGTTAAAGGTATTTGATGCAGCTGGTAGTTTACTTACTAATATTGATGCAACAGATGTGTAGTAGGAATTAAAACAATTTGCCACCTTAGATGTATCGTGGCATACCTCGTTATCAATAGTGAGTACTATGTTAGACCTATCTACTGGCTTATGGCTATACCCCAACTGTTTTAGTTGTTGCCAGAGCTTTCTGGGGTTATGCTTATACTCTTCAATTTTTGAGCAATAGTGCTCCTTTTATAAGTCTCTGCACTCTGTTCTTCACCCATTGGAATTCATTTAGTGCTGCAATATCCTGTCTGTTTGCTTTAAATCTTTTTAGCAGCTGGTCTCTGAATTTCATATTATCTAATATCTCAGTAGTCATCCAGGGTTCAGTTCTTCGTTTAATCCTAACCTCTTTAACTGGTGCAATATTATCAAGGATAACGGTGAACATTGTTTTGAATTTTTCCCAGGCATCGTTTAAGTCCATGCAACTTGTTATCACTGTCCAGTCACAATTGTGTAGCCTATTTACCAGTGTTTCTTTACTGTAGTTTCTAGTTGACCTCATTTTTATTGTCCTGTGTAGGCCTATCCTATCCCTAGTGATTGTCCTGGTGCAGTAAATGATGAAATGATCACTAAGACCTGTGGTAATGATGCCTGACTGACTAATGTTCTCAGAGCGGTTAATAAGTATGTGGACAGTTAGGGTGGCTGAGAACTGTGTGATCCGGGTTGGTGTATTAATTAGTTGAGTGTAACTATTTAAACCTAGAATTTGCTTATACCTTTTGCATAGCCCGTTATTTTGCTGCTGAAAACAGATATTGAAGTCGCCCAGTATTATTGTCTCGCAATTGTTTTCAACTCCGGACAAGACTCTGGAAAAGTCTCCTAAGAACTGGTCCTGGGTTGGAGGGCGGTAACTAGTTCCTACTAAGATG